GCAAGTCACTTAACCCCAATTGCCTCACCAAAAACAAACAAAGAAACAAACAGAAAAGGCACTAATGATTGTTTTAATAAGCTTTTTTTCCCCCTGAAATTAAGATCTTAACAAGTAAACAGTTACCCAAATATTGACAAAAGTCTATATGAGCTAACATTTCTAGAACCCAAGTGTTAACAAGGACCCCTCTGATCATTTGGTATGCTTCATCTACTCTTTATGCTTAGAAACCTATTGGGATTTGACCTTGCTGAACCAGGGATTTGGGACTTGTCTATGCTCATACACTTAGAAAGTGATTCAAACCCAGGACTCTCCTGAATACAACTTTAGAGTGCTTTCCACTCAATGATGGTGTCTTTAAGCAAATTGCTTTTTAATTCCTTTCCTGGCTCTTAGTTCATTGCCTCTATATTTCAACCTAGTTATCCTCACCAAATTTCCAAAATATTTTATTCACCTTTCTTCAGTTGTCTTCTCTTTTATCTACTTCCTTCTTTTATTCTGCTTCAGCATTCCTTTTTACCTCTTTCTGTCTCTTTGTCATTTCTGTCTTTTTTGCCTTTTCTCTGTTTTATTCAGTTCTTCTTCAAAATGTAACTTCTAATAAATCTTTCCTTGTATTTGCACATTGAAAGCTAACTGGTGACATTAATTCCAAACACGCATTCCAATCCCAAACCCTATATTGATCAATCAGCCACATATTAATAGGTTGTACCTATCTTGATACTTCTGTTATCAAATGTGATACTTATTCAATTCAACAAATCCTTATAAAACACCTATTTCCTTTAAGGAAATAGACCCATGGTTTATTGCATAGAATACTGGAAATGAAGTCAGGTAGAATTATGTTTCATTCCTGATTTTGACACATATTAGCTAAATGATTGTGAGCAGTTTTCTTAAAATTTGGGTTCCTTAGACAGCTCTCTCAGACTCTTAAGTTCCAGGTAATTTGGTGATCTGTATCATTAGACAGAATTTACACACCAGTTATTCCCTATAGCAATGAAATCACACATCCTGACCTTCCACTGCCACCTTCCCCTAACCCCACCCTCCCAATGGACAGGGCACTAGAAATACAGAGATAAAAGCACAGTCCCTGCTCTTGGCAGGCTTACAATCAAGAAGCAATGGCATAACCTAGACAAAGGATTTGGGGGGAGTATTTTAGTTAGGTAATAGACTAGTTTTTGGTCTTTCTATTGAGTAAATTGTGAGTCACTTCCCCTCTAACACATTTGATTGGGTGTGTGTGTGTGTGTGTGGAGAGAGAGAGAGAGAGAGAGAGAG